TTCAAACAGTTTCATCCACTAGTTTTATTGTTGGAATGAAATATAGCAAGACTTGCAATGGCTACTCAGAAAGTTAGTAACCGGTCATCATTGGGTTACGTTTTTGACAAGATCTACACAGAAATGATGTCAAGGATCAAGGAACTGTTGATGGTTAACTTCTGCACATCATGATCAAGGCTGTGAGCTGTGGCAGTATGGACAAATCTTGCCTTTCTGTTATCATCTTGGTTCTGTCCATAGCTGCTGTTAAATTGGGAGTAATAATATTTCTTATTGCCCTCTTTTCATGTTTAGAAGATAATAGTTCTCCAATTGCTCTTCACTTTTATTGGTACTGTATCCACCAACCTCATCATTAATGCTGTGGGATGATTCCCAACAAGTGACAGCTTCATTCAAGATCTGCTGTTTCTGCCTGGGCACCATTTCCTATTCATACTTGTCTCTCTTTTTTCTCAGCCCTTTATTTCTTTAAAGAAAGAACCTTATCTGTCTGGCTCATGCACCCATAACATCCTCTTTCCCTCTGAGTAAGAAGAAAGTCCTTGTTTTCTGGGATCTTGAACAGAATCAAAGAATCCCTATATGCAATGTGAAAAATGTCATCCAGATTATTTACAAAATGTTTTACTATCTGACTATGTGTCAGTTTTCCTTTTTAAATTTTTCTTTAGCTTTGCTCATTTTAAAAAGGCTTCTCCAGTTTGAGAATGGCATGATGTTCTAAATAAATTGGAGTTTGAGCCTTATTCCAAGAAGCTGCAGCCTCCTTGATCAGAACCTTTGAGTTTTCAAACTTTCTTCTTTAATGTTTTGTAATGAGAGAAAAACAGACACGGCACTTGCTAATTTGAAGGTAGTTTGCTTCCAGTTAGTTCAATTTCTTTTGAACAGAGCAGCCAAAGTGTAGGCTATTTTCTTGTTGCAGTATTCATTTGCAATAATACACCTTTAAAGTATCATCTGAAATGATAGAGAAGAATCTGCTTAATTGCTGAAATATTCTCTCAGAAATTCTAGAAACTTTTGTCGTGTCATACAGAACATTCTAGAAGTAAATAGTGCTAGCATGGATTACTTATATATGGAATATTCTTGAACATTCTGAATTATGTGAAATACTGTGGAATATTCAAGAATATGCCACAATATTCCATAACACTTTGCTAGAAAATTCCAAAATGATCTAGAACCTTCCAGAATTATTTAGAATATTCTGTAACGTTACAGAATATGCAGATACAATGTGAGCTAAAAGATAAAATTTCAACTACCTTAAGCAACCTCTAAATATTGTTCAATATGGATAAAATTTGGTGTTAATTACTTATTTATATATTAAAACAAAATAAAAGGGTGTGTTGTAAATCGAAATCTGTGGAATTAATTTTGTCTTCTAAGTTTAAGAAAACTCCTATGCATATGACCTTATAAAAACATTGCTAGGATTTTGATTCAGAATATTTATGGGAATTAAGTTCAAAATGGTGCATATTTTTTGATGTTTGGTAGGAAAATAAAACTATCATATTCTTTTTGTGCAGGAAAAAGTTCGTCAAGTTTTTGACAATCTTACGCAATTGGAACACCCAAATATTGTGAAGTTTCACCGTTACTGGATGGATAAAGATGTAGAAAAACCACGAGTAATTTTCATAACAGAATACATGTCGAGTGGGTCTTTGAAACAGTTACTAAAGAAAACAAAATGGAATGTCATTAAGTTACCTTTGCAGGTAAATAGTTTTTACAATAGATTTAGTACAATATGTCAAAAAGATGGTTTCAACATATTTTTTTTTCCATAGTCGTGAAACTAATGGTTCTTCCTTTAAAGTACCCCTATATTTTTGCATTTCATTGCTGTCATTTTACTGAGTTCAGATAGTGTGTGTATGTATTTTTATACACTGTTTTTGATAACCTAAACAAATTTGAAGTACATGTACTCAGTGCTCAAAGTGGGGGGTATGGTCATGCATAAAATTGTGATAGTGTTTTTCATTGTTTGGAATTCTTAATAAAGATGTACAAGAAATGAGGGTATGAAATGCCAACTTAGAGAAGTGTGGTTATGAGTCCCCCCGCGTTACTCTCCACTTCGAGCACTGCATGCATTTACATGTACTTGTAGCATATGGCATATTTCCATCATTGTTTGATAAATGGGTTAGGCGGAATTTAAATCTTGTAAGTTAGTCAAACTTTATTACGTGCTCTATAGATTATGGACACTATTTAAGCTTAATTATCTTTATAAAGTATCTTTTATATGTATGTTATTGATGAGTATACTTATGTATAACTAATATATTTCTAATTGTAGTGTTTTTATCAATTCTGTTTAAATTTTCAAAAAACATTTTACTACTTGTGTTATAAATAGAAACTCAAAACATTACTTACATTTACAGTGTATATGTAAATAATATACTAAAAGTCCTATAGACATAGCTAAAAAGGAATTGACATTCTTAACCATATGTATGCTAAGATACAATTATTAATAAAAATCTTTTTTCTCCACTCAGGGTATTCATTATTCACTTTTCCTGATTGGGATGTTTTTTTTAGTATTTCCAACTTGAATAATTTTTGGGAAACAACTTGTATTTTGTGACTTGGTATTTCTTAACTTAAGAATGTGCATAAATCACACTGTTAATTCACTAAGTAAACTGATTAAGCTGATCGTGATGGTCTTTCATTTTGCTAAGCCTAACTCACTGGTTTTTCCCTGTGGCAGGTGTTAGTACTTTTCATTGAGTTTAGCTAAATATAAACTTCGATATGAATTTTCTCTTGTTATGAGTTGCCCAGTAATTCTTGGAAAGATGTAATTATGCATTACCTTACATTAAATATCTGAAAGCATAAACTTAAAACTGCTTGGGGTCAACAAATCTCTGGAATTTCATATACAATCTCATACCAAAAGTCATGGGACATGGGTAGTTATGAATAAAACACGTCTTTATTCGAAGAAATTAATAATGTGTTGGCCCGCCTTTGGCCTTAATGACTGCTTCAATGCGTAGTGAAAAACTGTCAACTAATTTCTGGTAGCAAGCTGGTGGTATTGTGCTCCACTCCTCTTTTAAAGCATTAGTAAGCTCCACAACTGAAGAAGGCCGTCTTGGCCTTGCCCTAATTTTGTGTTCCAGTTCATTCCAAAGATGTTCTATCGGATTCAGGTTGGGGCTCTGTGCTGGCCACTGTAGTGTTCCAATGTTATTATTTTCAAACTACGCGTTCACAATCCTTGCTTTGTGACATGGAGCATTATCATGTTGGAAGGTGTAAGGACCGGTACCATAAAACTGCCACAATGTAGGACACACAGAATTGTTCAGAACATTAGCGTAGGACTCAGCATTCATGGATCCATGCAATGTGACCAGTGGGCCTAGTCCATACCACCAGAAGCACCCCCAGACCATGATACCTCCACCTCCAAACTTCACTGTTGGGACAACATACTCAGGTGATAAGCGTCTTCCAGGCATACTCCATACCCAAACACGTCCATCAGACTGGAAGAGCATGTAGCATGACTCATAGCTCCACAGGACCAATTTCCATTGAGTCATGGTCCAGATTTGGTGTGCCTTGCCCCATGCCAATTGATCGTGTGCATTTGTTTTTGTTATCAATGGCTCATGGGCTGCAGTTCTTCCATGAAAAGTATGGCATGCAGCTCTCGACGTGTTGTGGAAACACTTATAGGATTGCCTGTGGCTGCTCGCATCTCCAAACACAGATTCTCTTGGGTCTGATGGCGAGATGAAGTAACCAGCCTTCTCAAGGTGCATCGGCTCCTGTCAGTCAGTATTTTACGCCTACCTAGTCATTTCTTGGGCTCATTGTTTCCTGTAGACTTTTATTTCTACAGCACATTGCCAATTGTTGACCTGGAAGTGTTTGACTGTTGTGCAGTAGCACGTACAGACATTTTCCCCAAATGACATCCAACTATCCTTCCCCTCTTAAACTCTGTTAGCTCTTTTTGTGCATACAAGCTCAAAATGACCTCTGAGTGAACCACTGATCACCTTTATAGGCCAAACTATTTCCACATTTCACCATCACACCCATTTTCCTGCTATCAGAGGTGTGTCCCATGACTTTTGGTAGGATAGTGTATTTGACTATGAATGATAGTTGGAAATTCATAGATTGAACTCTTGTTTCTGAATAAGGTTTAGATTTACTGCTTTTAACATTATATTGAGACAGACTTTCATATTAGTAAAAATATAAATCATACTTTACCTGCAATGTGTGGCTTTGTGCCTCCTGAACAAATACATTAGATGATTGAGAAAATAGAGTGAGGAAAAGTATGAAAGATGTACGATGTTAACAGTCTGTGTACTAGTGTTTTTAACATATGTAGTTCTGGCAAGTAAGTTTATAAATATAGTCTTTGTTTCAATTTCTGCAGGCATGGAAACGATGGTGTATGCAGATACTGTCAGCACTGAGGTAAGGTAATGTTTATATTTAGTGTTTAAATAAATTTAACTATAACAATGTCAGCTCTTATGACCTGGTTTTTATATATAACGCTTATGAAGTAGTTTATCTTGAACTTTCATGTGTAACAGTTGTTACCATGAAATCCAAATTGTGTAGCATAGCATTGTCACATAAGTGTGAAAAATGACATTAAAATACAAAATAGTGCATGTATTTCATGCTCTAGTTAAATTGTTTCTAATATAGTATATGTAACCTTTCATTATATATATATATATGTATATATACACACATGTTCATGGATAATTAGAATTCTTATATCTGTACATTTACAATTTTTTGATAACATAAGTCAGTTTCATGAGGTAATTCCTACTGGATATTTTCAAGTCAGACAGGATATTTTGGCTGCCAATGGCTTGGAATCTTGTATATATTTAATAGGATCTAGAGGGTATACCATTAAATTAAAAGAGGGTTAATTTATGCTGCATATGTATTGAAATCATGCATTGAAAAGTAATTACTGTATGTCACTCAACCAATGTATTTTATATGTATATTTCTTAAATGTATACCAAAATGACTTGCAGTTAAGTTTACTTGTGATATCCTATGGATGTAGGATCAATAGAAAATTGTTAGTATCAAAAAGAAACCCAATAATTCAAGTACTTTTGGAAAATAGACTTTCATTTATCAATAGTAAATCCCCCCCCCCAAAAAAAATAAATAAATAAATGCTGTTTACTCCTGATAAAGGGAAAGTCCACTTTCCAAACATACTCAGTCTCTCTGGTTTGTTTTCTGTTGTAGTTAGGTTCATGTTCTAGTTAATTAGCTCATTGTACTAATTTTAGAGATAAGTTTTTAAAAGTTACCGATTTCGTCTTAATTTCGTGAAATATATATATCTGAAATTTACATGATTATTCAGTTGTTAAGAACTGTTTTGGTTAAAGTTTCAAAAATGATAAGATTATTTTTAACAAATGAATAAAGTCAAGGATTTTAAATTATATTAAAGCTTGTGAAGTCTGTTAAAAATTGTATGTAATATATTTGCTTTTAAATAATATTAATAACAACACACCAGCATGATAATGCACAATAGATTAAACAATTAACAAAACAAAAATTGATTAGTTTTGACAGACCAAGCTTGTCATTCCCAAGTGATGGAGTAAAGCTTTTTTCGCGCCATATGTATAGATATCTATAGCTATAATGTCTTGTACATTTAGATTTAAACTGCAGCTGAATAATCAATGTCCACCAACTAATTAGAAAATAGGTACTTCAAATCCCATTTCATTGTTGAGTTGTTGTATTTTTATCTGTTTTCAAGTATTTCTATTGGCTCTCTTGTGTTGATAATAAAATTTTTATTTACCAAGGGTTTTTTATAGATTGAAATTAACTTTGTGATTAGTTGTATGAACATGTAACACTAAAGTCAATTTTCAACTTCCATCCAATGACAGTGTTCCTTTAATTTAATGAGATTGTGTTGACCAGTCTAAGCACAATCTCAAGAACAAGGAATGAAATAATATATTGTTTGTACTGGGCTTCCATCTTAACTGCCTTTTTATTAAATTTATTTGAAAATTTGATCACTGACTTATAAGCTTTGTTAATTTTATTCCATTTTAGCACTTTTGAGATGGGTGAAAGGCCATGTTATCTTGTTTGTTGACTTGCATTCAAAATTTTATTGAGCTACTATTTCATTAATTTATGTCATAAGTTTGGTATTAAATTGTAGATTATAATTCAAATTTTAGAACTATACATTATTC